AGACACGAGAGCAAATTGGCAGCAAATCCGCAGCAAGCCTTGCACTCAATCAGCTGATCAAGATGGCGGCGATGTGCGTTGGGTTTTAAATGGTTCCTAACCTGCATATTACTAAATTTTAATTGCAATTTTGCATTTGAAAAGGAAAAGGTGTATACAGAAATAAATATTTGACAAAACAGACTGTGTAATTTATTATATAAACATATATACATATAACATCAAGAATTATCGCTATATACATATATGCGCGATATTAAAAGAAATTAAAAACGTATTGAGAGCATGAAGTACGCCCTGATCAGCAATGCCAAATTCCACCGGTGTACTCTGTGAGCAGCGGCGAGTTCTCGTGGTATAGGCAGCATGGGATCGACGTTCAACGAGACATTATTCACCTTCTTCTCGACCTGGTTCTCCATTTGCCTCTACAAACAGCAAAAATATTTAGCCAAGAGAAGTGATTATTCATTGTATTTCATTAGTAATAATATTGCTTATCATTAGCAGAAACATATATTCTAACAACTTTTTTTTTTTTAACGAAGTATGGAAATCCTCATGGACACCCAAGGTTATGCAGAGCCTGGATGTGTCGGATTCGTACCGGCTAAAACCACACTCCGGTGCAATTAGGCCATTGTGGAAGATCCCGGAATTGTCAAGAAGAGACACATCGAGATCGTCCACAGCCCGTATAATTACTGAGAAAAAAAGGCTACAAACTGCATTCTGTATTGGCCAGCTTGCTGCGGGAGCTTCTAGGATGAAGAGAGGCGTCTCGCGAGGATGATGCGCGCAAGAGTTTCGGTGAGTGCAGATGCACTTCCGGATCCTCCCCCACATCATCCGAAACCAAAAAGAACCTATGAAAAAAATATGGGCATTAGTTAATTAGCTAGTACTCAGAAAATAAAAACAAAGGAAGTAACCTGTGCAACAACAGAAAATAAAATAAAATACAATGGTAAAATAAAATATTGCACAGAAAATTGAGTACCTACATAAAAACATTAGTAGTAATATGAAAATAAAATAAAGACACTTATCAAAATATCTTCAATTCGCCTACGCACGCGTTCAGAGTCGGGCCGCTTCTCCTCTATTTTCCTGGCTTCTATCTGGGCTTCACTTTCATACTAGACAAAACAGATTAGGAAACATTAGAAACAAGTTGATGCATATTGCCAGCAAACACTATGTTATATGTAACGTACATGTTAGTTGTAATTTTCTATTCAACAATGTAACTATTATATAAGACACGTGTTATATAACAGTTACATTGTAGAGTAGAAAATTACAACTAACATGTACGTTATATGTAACATTGTTTGCCGCATAGTTGCTACAATGGAAACTTTCAACTTACATTTTATATTCTTAGGTGCTCGGTTCCTCCATGTTGTCCTCTTCCTCTTCCTCATCGTTCCACAAGTTATCCTCCGCCCTCTTCCTTGCGGCTGTTGGACGTGGACCACGCATTCGTTGGCGTGTCTCTCCTTCGTTATCCGAAGAGCCTCCCTCATTTGCTTCTGGAACTCGGATCTCAGGGGCCTGTCAAAATGACGATTCCTACAAATTGCATCTAGAAAACAGGCGCAAAGCGTATGGAAAATAAGTATACCATTACAGTAAGTTGTTTTTCACAAACTGAATGAAATATGGTATCATTAATAGATAAAAATTCTTTACCATATATGGCTCGTGCCAATCGAGTGTCATATAATGCTCGGCGTTCTTTCTCGCGGCCGAACCACGTAAAACGTGTTATTAGGGCGTCGGACACTGCTTCCTTGAGACACAACTGTGTAGCTTCCTTGAGGTTGAAGCCACCAACGTAATGTAAATAAGTTACCTGGAAAAAGTGACATTTTAATATAATGTAACCAATTCCTTCTTACAGCAATTCTGCTGCGAAAAGTTGTAATCTTACTTACCGCTTCCGAATAACGTTATTCATCCTCGTTTTCAAAAGCATCCATTTCTTCCATTGTTGTAATGGGTAGTCTATGCGGCTTTGCTGGTGCACAATGGCGCTCTTGGACACATTTGAGAATTTTCTGCTGTGTTGTTTCAATTCTCCTGCAAGCAACAATATGAAAAATTGTCAGAATATTTAACATTACGCATTATACAATATATGCAATACGTACTTCATTATCGCTTCTATGTTGCTAATTTTTTCTTCCACTGCGCTTATTCGTTCCTCTAGCTTGCTACAATTATACATAAATATTAATGAGTACATCCTATCTACACTGGTAAATTTTCTGCCATTCATTTAGATCAATGAGAGAAGATTCCTATTTGTATTATACCTTGTATTGGTACTTTCCTTTTGCACGATACTTTCCTTCTGCACGGCGGCGGTCCTCTGTGTATAATTCGTTTCTAGTCCTTGATGTTCACGTTGTTGTTGGGTTTTTTCTCCTTGGATGATATTCTGTAACTCACATAAAGTGTTATTAGTATAATATGGTATATCACATTCTAAACGTTGTGTAAAACTTTGTGCCCTACTGAGTGGTTGTAGGTATGGAGGATATTCTAAATGTGTGTATGTCTGTGCATGTGTTGTATATTCTGAATGTGATTGTGTATGTGCAGAATAATGTAAATTTGTATGTCTATGCGTATGTGAGGTGTTATTGTTTTGTGCTTGTGTCTGTGTGTGTGAGATATATGTGCCAGAGTCTGTGTTAGTAAATGTTTGTGTTGATGTAGGGTGTTGTAGGGAGTTAGAAAGTACTTAATTTTCTTTTTCAATAATCCTGCTGATGTCATTGATGTCATCCTCCACTGTTCCTGGTGTGCATGATGTCGCTGTCCTCCCTTTTCGCTTTGGTGGTTCCTCTTCAGATGATGTAGTTAGATACCGTGCTGGTTTGGTGACGTGCCGCTTCTGTCGATCCATCTGTGTATGTAAATATATCAATTATGACATATTTTGTATACTATGCAAACATATTAACATGCTCTAACACTTAACATTAGACAATGTAATCTCTATACTTTATTCTCTAAAGCAGATATGTGTTTGAGTGTGTGTGCCATGTTGTAAAGAAACAGTCAAATGTCTATCTTATTCTACAGTTATTATCTAGAAGTTATCTAGAAGTCACTAAAAATTTCACATAAACAGTTTATCATATACAACACATTTCTAAATATATTAATATATTCATGAGTCAATTTGGTATATTGTCACATTAATATGTTGTTTCCTGATTTAATATTACTCATAACGATTGTACTAGTTTGCTGAGAAGACTTATTAATAAAAATATTCTGGGGTACTTCTTAACTTATGTGTATACACACACACATACACAAAACATATGCATTTGTTTCATTAATATTTATTTCCAAGCGCAGGTGCCACATGTGCTTTATTCGTAACTGTAGAACAAGATAGATATATGATTGTCTCTTTGCGAGATGGCACACAATCACATACATTTATGTTTCTGAGAATAAAGTATAGAGATTTGGGTAGCGATCATGAATTTTTTCCTAAAGCATGAACTTGGAGAAAGTGATAAGTTGTACATTAACTTTCTTAGACAGCACAGAATACTAAAAGATATCTTAAAGATGTGCAAAAGACATAAACAAAAGATATAATGTGTTTTGCATGTCTTTAAGATATTTAGTTCATAATTTGTATTGTCTAATCATTATGATGTAACCAAGCGAAACGTAGAAATATCAACTTTTCCTTAACTTTTCACGTGAATTTTTCAAGCATCAAGCTCGATCGCGAAAATCGTGCATAGTTGATAAAAACTTAACATTTTGCCTTAGGTCACGCTTTAGGAAAAGATTCATAATCGCTACCTATATTGCGTTAACGTTAAGTGTGACTAACAGTAAAGTAATTAAGTAAACAGTAAAGTAAGTAAGAGAAATTCGCGTGAAATCAGTATGTGAAATTCACGTTTAATTGATATAGGTCACGTTAAATCTATGCAGATTCACCGTGGGATTCATGTATTTTCCGTCCGAATATTATTAATATGTGCGTACCTGTATCCCGTATAATAGACTTCGATTAAAATGGGAAGAAATCGTCGTATCAACGTAAACAGTAATTCTTCTTTACACACTCTTAACGTGCTCGGCTTCACTGTATTCACTCCCCTAACTGTCAAACTTGGAATGATTGTAACGTTCAACATGTAACACGTGGGTTACTCAATATCCAATTAGGAGTGTTTGCAAGATGGCGTAACCAATCAAAAATCTCTCCGTTCCCTCCAAACTACACGACTGGTGATGCCGTGTTCAAGTACTACCACATTATGGCCGTATCACACTAGCGACTCGCGGCTGTGACTGCGATTGCGATTTCTTGTTTTCCAATCACACTTGCGATTGGCGATCGCAGCTGCGGCTAAATATTGTTAACATACCGTCACACGTACAATCCCAGAGAAGGGGTTTACATTCTACGAGACCTATTAAATAATAGTCTATCTCCTTATTAAATTGTTTTGACATTAAGAAAATATATATGACATATAAAATAACACTGGATATAACCTTATTCTAATAATCACCGACTTCTACATACTGTTGCGCCCGTGCTTTTGCGAAGTATCGAGGTGTGTTCACATTGCTATGATCGAGAGTCCCTAGCAACGAAAAATAACAATAGCAGACAGAGAGTTCTTGGGAAGCTGTCAAGATAGACAGACGCGAGATTTATCATTCGGAGAATTATTTATGCGAGAGTCTGTATAAAGCTGTAAATAGTAAAGCTTCCTTTCTTTTACACAAGTATTCTTATTTCCTCGAGTGCATGGTGTGAGTGTTGCTAGTTAAAGAGTGAGCGCAACAATTTGGGGGCTCGTCCGGGATAAAAGTGAATCGTTTAACATCCGACGTAAAAGAGAGAAAGGAGAGGATGACGCATTCGCCGAGGGTAATCCGAAGCCAGGCTTCGATGGTGGCGTCAAGCTTGATAACGGCGGAAATGGATCAGAGAGTTGAGACGGATGCGGAGGCTGTTCGGCGGCTTCGGCAGGAAATGCAGCAGCTTGGTGAGGAGCGTGAACGGCAGGAACTCCTTGAATTGCGGCGTTGGCAAAGGACAGAGGAGCAGGGACAAGGAGAATCCGGCGGAAGGCGAGAGCATGAAAATTCAGAGAATTAGAAAGCTAATTTTGTATTTTCATCCAAACTCATAAATATATAAGTTTATGTTAGAAAAGATACACACTCTCCTTTCGCTTTTTTTTAGGAAAGGATGTCACTGTTGGACGAATTAGTTGCAGAGGACTAGATAGAATGATTAAAGAAGACCACCTCGCTCACGGTTTTTGACCGTGGTTTTCCCGTGAGTTAATAGGCAAATACTGAGGTGGGGACCTGGGGTGTTCTCTTAAGAGAACGACGGGTCCACGGATGCTACCCCCCCTTGTCCGAAGACGAACGGCGTTCAACAGGCATCGTGAACATGGAAAAAACGTCAATCCTTCGATTTTCAAGAAAATGACTGATGGAACCTTGAAGGACGGTGTCTGTAGAGCCTGAAGCAGCAGCCAAGGCTAGGACAAGAAAACGTCTTGGTGTTCTGGAACAGCATTTTAGAAGATATTGAAGTACTGACTTCCCGCCTTCCCCTTAATTGTCGGGATGACAATTTTAAAGAGGGGGGTAGTGTTGCGCCCGTGCTTTTGCGAAGTATCGAGGTATGTTCACATTGCTATGATCGAGAGTCCCTAGCAACGAAAAATAACAACAGCAAACAGAGAGTTCTTGGGAAGCTGTCAAGATAGACAGACGCGAGATTTATTATTCGGAGAATTATTTATGCGAGAGTCTGTACAAAGCTATAAATAGTAAATCTTCCTTTCTTTTACACAAGTATTCTTATTTCCTCGAATGCGTGGTGTGAGTGTTGCTAGTTGAAGAGTGAGCGCAACAATACTATTAAATAAGTGTGATAATGATGAGCGCGCGTCACGTGATTATACGGAGTTCTGTGATTGGTTGTGACTGCGGCTGTGGCTCGAAAGTCGCGAGTCGCAGCCGCGAATCGCTGCTTTCTGATTGGTCGAGGAAGAGTCGCAATCGCTTTCGCAGCTGCAGTCGCAGTCGCGAGTCGCTAGTGTGATACGCACTTTACACTCCCTCCACTTCAGGCGGTTTTCGCAGGAAATCAGCAGTATTGTTTGTGTACAGAAGCCCGTAGCAGGTTTTGTGTTCGATTGTGAGCTGCTTCAAGTACTCTGTGCTTATTTGCCTCGTGTTATCTGGAAGAAAAAGAAAGAGAAGAAGAAAAGGGTGAATAGAGAGAGAGAACCATCACATTGTAAAATTGCTGCTTTTTTGGACTTTACATTTGGCTCCTACCTACTGCAACTAGGTTACGTAAATATGGAACATTTAAAAATATCCACTTCACGTAAAACGCTCCATAAGTTATCCATGAGACAGCGAAATAGGGTCATTTGTGACATGAGGCTTAGGTTGCGCATGAAAAATTATCCTGCAACACGCATATGCAATGCCCGTGTACACTGTAATAATAATTCTACATTACAACAGATACCGGGTTCATCTGTTGCAAAAAATACGTCTTCAAATAACTTTCATTTCGTTGCTAACGACATCAATACAATTAGTATGGACGTTGAGGATGATGATAGGGAATCTTGTTCTTCTTCAACTTCTTCTGATGTGTCTTGTACATCCTCTTCATTTCTTACCAATTTGTCTGAACCATCTTTCAGTGACAATCTGGCATCTTCTTTTGTTCAGAATAATTTAACGCACTCAAGGCAATAGCATATTATCTGTTTTAAGATCACACACTTGCTTTAGTAATTTGCCTAAAGATGTTAGAACTCTTCTAGACACACCACGGCATCGTGTCATTATATCCAAAGTTGAACCAGGAGAATACATTCATTTTGATCTGGAGGTAGGCATTGTTGAAAGTCTCTCAAATTCTTCTTGTCATTCCATTAGTTCAGAATTAGAAATTGATACCAATGGATACCGATGGATGTAGTTTAGATAAATCATCTACCATTCAAATCTGGCCGATTCAATGTAGATTAGTAAACATGCGAAATATCAAACCAATTGTTGTAGGAATTTATAAAGGTGCACACAAACCTAATGATCCTGTAGCTTTTTTGAAAAATTAATTGCAGATGTTACAGCACTTATATCCAAGGGAGGTGTTTATTTTCGTGGCAGCCTTTTACCAATAAAATTAAGGTCTTTCATAGTTGACGCACCTGCTCGAGCCTTCATTTTAAATAATCGTGGTCATGTCTTTTCGTCCTTGTTCCAAGTGCAAAATTTGTGGCATACTGAGCGATGGTCGTCACGTCTTCCATGGTATCAATCATCCTCTTCGTACCGACGAAGAGTATAAATTGCATCTTGATGAGGATCATCATAAAGAGGGTACAAGCCCGTTATCTATGTTGCCGATAGGAATAGTTTCTCAAGTGCCTTTTGAGTACATGCATTTAGTATGTTTGGGCGTAATGAAAAAAATATTGTCCGCATAGGTACATGGCAAATATTCATGGTTAGCTAAACTTCCGGCAGTAGCAATTTCCACAATTAGCGCTCGTTTACATAATTTACAACAATATTGTCCAACAGATTTTGCAAAACGTCCTAGATCTTTAGATTCGTATTCTAAATATAAAGCAACTGAATTTCGTCAATTTCTTCTGTATACAGGGCCTGTCGTCATGTATGATATTTTAGATGAACAATTATACAAGCACTTCTTGCTTTTACACTCTGCTATAAGGGTCTTACTTTTCAAATGTCACTCGCAAAAGCATCTTACATTCGCGGAACTTGCATTGCAAAAGTTTGTACTTCGTGCTACTACTCTGTATGGTTCAAATTTTAATAGTTACAATGTTCACGGTTTGCTTCATCTGACAAACGACGTTAGGCGTCTTGGTAGTTTAGAATTCTTTTCCGCATTTCCGTACGAAAACAATATGTCAATTTTCAGAAAATGTTGTAGAAAACCAGGCTTACCTTTGCAACAATTTGCTAATAGAATGACGGAAATACGACATCACGGAAGAAATGATACTGTCGATATTAATTCATTCATTCATGTTTCAATGCCATATAAGAGCAGCAAAAAATAGTAATTCATATAATAAAATTCAATGGAATGGAATATGCCTAAATACCCGCATGCGAGACAATTGTTGTATTCTAATAGATGGGTCGGTTTGTCTTGTCTTCAATATTATTACAGACAACAATTCTTATTGTTTGTCTGTAAAATTTTTTTTAGAAGTGGAGAATTTTTATAATGTTGGTCTGCCCTCTTCGGCTTTTCATGTCTACAAATGTGGCAACATTTGTAGCGACATTGTTGTTATTGAAATCAAACAAGTTTATGCCAAGGGCTACAGGATGCCTTTATCTGAAAAAGCAGCAGCTGACAACGACAGTGATGAAGAAGACCTCATAGGAAAAATATATTGTTACCGGATTAATTCATATGGAATAGACGTAAGTAGTAACACAAATAAATTATCTTTATATACGTCGATTGTGTGTTTGCTGGGATAAATGCATCCTTATGTTTCTAATCTGTTTTGTCTAGTATGAGGATGGAGCCCAGATAAGCCGAAAAAATAGAAGAGAAGAAGAAACGGAGACACGACTCTGAACGCATACAAATTGAGAATATTTTGATAAGTATCCTTATTTTATTTTCATATTACTACTAATGTTTTTATGTAGGTACTCAATTTTCTGTGCAATATTTTATTTTACTATTGTATTTTATTTTATATTTTGTTGCACAGGTTACTTCCTTTTTTTTTATTTTCTGAGTACTAGCTCTAGATTAATTAACTAATGCCCATATTTTTTTCTTAGGTTTTTTTTTGGTTTCGGATGGTCTAGGGAAGGACCCGGAAGTGTATCTGCATTCATCGAAACTCGTGCGCCTGTTTTCCAGATGCAATTTGTAGGAATCGTCATTTTGACAGGCCCCTGAGATCCGAGTTCCAGAAGCAAATGAGGGAGGCTCTTCGGATAACGAAGGAGAGACACGCCAACGAATGCGTGGTCCACGTCCAACAGCCGCAAGGAAGAGGGCGGAGGATAACTTGTGGAACGATGAGGAAGAGGAAGAGGACAACATGGAGGAACCGAGCACCTAAGAATATAAAATGTAAGTTGAAAGTTTCCATTGTAGCAACTATGCGGCAAACAATGTTACATATAACGTACATGTTAGTTGTAATTTTCTACTCTACAATGTAACTGTTATATAACACGTGTCTTATATAATAGTTACATTGTTGAATAGAAAATTACAACTAACATGTACGTTACATATAACATAGTGTTTGCTGGCAATATGCATCAACTTGTTTCTAATGTTTCCTAATCTGTTTTGTCTAGTATGAAAGTGAAGCCCAGATAGAAGCCAGGAAAATAGAGGAGAAGCGGCCCGACTCTGAACGCGTGCGTAGGCGAATTGAAGATATTTTGATAAGTGTCTTTATTTTATTTTCATATTACTACTAATGTTTTTATGTAGGTACTCAATTTTCTGTGCAATATTTTATTTTACCATTGTATTTTATTTTATTTTCTGTTGTTGCACAGGTTACTTCCTTTGTTTTTATTTTCTGAGTACTAGCTAATTAACTAATGCCCATATTTTTTTCATAGGTTCTTTTTGGTTTCGGATGATGTGGGGGAGGATCCGGAAGTGCATCTGCACTCACCGAAACTCTTGCGCGCATCATCCTCGCGAGACGCCTCTCTTCATCCTAGAAGCTCCCGCAGCAAGCTGGCCAATACAGAATGCAGTTTGTAGCCTTTTTTTCTCAGTAATTATACGGGCTGTGGACGATCTCGATGTGTCTCTTCTTGACAATTCCGGGATCTTCCACAATGGCCTAATTGCACCGGAGTGTGGTTTTAGCCGGTACGAATCCGACACATCCAGGCTCTGCATAACCTTGGGTGTCCATGAGGATTTCCATACTTCGTTAAAAAAAAAAAAGTTGTTAGAATATATGTTTCTGCTAATGATAAGCAATATTATTACTAATGAAATACAATGAATAATCACTTCTCTTGGCTAAATATTTTTGCTGTTTGTAGAGGCAAATGGAGAACCAGGTCGAGAAGAAGGTGAATAATGTCTCGTTGAACGTCGATCCCATGCTGCCTATACCACGAGAACTCGCCGCTGCTCACAGAGTACACCGGTGGAATTTGGCATTGCTGATCAGGGCGTACTTCATGCTCTCAATACGTTTTTAATTTCTTTTAATATCGCGCATATATGTATATAGCGATAATTCTTGATGTTATATGTATATATGTTTATATAATAAATTACACAGTCTGTTTTGTCAAATATTTATTTCTGTATACACCTTTTCCTTTTCAAATGCAAAATTGCAATTAAAATTTAGTAATATGCAGGTTAGGAACCATTTAAAACCCAACGCACATCGCCGCCATCTTGATCAGCTGATTGAGTGCAAGGCTTGCTGCGGATTTGCTGCCAATTTGCTCTCGTGTCTTGTGCGCAAGTGTTGCTCGGTGTTTGATGCCTATTTGATGCTAAGTTATGCGCTCCAAAACTTGCGCGGTTTTTGCTGCAAATTTACTGCAAGTTGCCCCGCATCAAGCCTTGACGTCAAAACACAATCCTAAAAAGGACACAGTTGCATATGGTTTTGGCATCAAGTTTTGATCGAATTTGCTGCCAATTTGCGCTCAATTTGCACTCATTTTGCTCATTGGGTATATAATTTCTCAGTTGGCGTTACTGTTTTAATATATCACTTATTTTGTATAAGTTTTACTTGTAAAAACTTATGTTATGTACACATATATACTTAAAAAAAATAATTTGAATTTGTAATAATAACCTTTAAAAAGATATCTTTCTTAAATATTGAACACTATTAATAAACGTGTTAAAATTTTATAACACGATATCATTTTTACTTGTAGAAAGTAATGTTAAGTACATTATAATAACAAGTAAAACAATCATATAACTCAGTGTTATAATAAATAATGATAAATTAAATATTGGACACTACTAATAAACGTGTAAAATTGTTGTAACATGATATCATTTGTAAAAACTTATTATGTACATAATATATATCTTAAAAAAAGGAAATAATTTGAATTTGAGATTTCTAAAAATATTAAGTATACGATTTCTCAGTTAGCGTTACTGTTTTAATGTATCACTTTTTTAGTATAAGTTTTACTTTTAAAAACTTATGTTATGTACACATACATATTTAAAAAAAAATAATTTGAATTTGAAATTTCTAAAAATAGCACAATACGTGTTGCGCTTGTACTTGGCGTCTTTTTTACCTTTTTGTTTAAAAAGGTTATTATAATAAATTTTACATGTAATCATTTTTACTTGTAAAAAGTTATGTTAAGTACATTATAATAACAAGTAAAACAATCATATAACTCAGTGTTGTAATAAGTAATGATAAATGAAGTATTGGACACTACTAATATACGTGTTAAATTTTTATATCATTTTTACTTGTAAAAAGTTATGTTAAGTACATTATAATATAAATGGATACCCGAATTTTTTATTACAACGTCTTTTCCAATTAATTTAAACAACTTTTGTCTGAAACAATATTTTATTTAACTAATATTTTGTGACATATTTAAGGAAAACTGAATAACTTTTTCAATATTTAACTCACGATATTTCGCTAATTATTTGTCAGAAGAAAAAATGGTACTAGATTTTTTTCCTCTATTTAGTCTCAAGAATATATTGTTCCAATAGCGCCATGAATTTGGTTCATTTGATGATTTTGAAATTTCAAAAAATCAGCAAACAAAAATCAAGCGCTATTGTAACAATATATTCTTGAGATTAAATAGAGCAAAAAATTCTAGTACTTTTTCTTCTGACAAATAGTTAGCGAGATATCGTGAGTTAAATATTGAAAAAGTTATTAAATTTTCCTTAAATAAAATTAAAAAATGTTTCAGACAAAAGTTGTTCAAATTAATTGCTTTAATTAAGAAAAAGACGATATAATAAAAAATTAGGATATCCATTTAAGACCAAGGTTAAATTCATAACGTCAGTAAATAGATCCTTTGAAGCCCTACAACTTTTGTCTGAAATACTTATCTCTAAAATGTTCTGTTTCCGAAATAAAAGGGCTATACGAGTGGTCTGAATCACTCTGTATATATAATAATTTATACGCTTATAATATATTAACACGTTTCCAATATTTATCAAGAGACATTATCTTATACAGGAACTTAATACCTCGCCTGTAATAAAATTGGATATCTGAGGTATATACTAGAGTCCCTATAAGGTACTACATGGGCTGAAAAGTATTTGGCCTGACATATAGATGGCGCCACAAACTAAAAATCCTTATATTTCCTATAGAGTACCAACCTTAACTTAGATGCTGTAAAAATTTCATGATATTTCGTTGACTCGTGTACAAGTTATAGCTTTCGAAGTGACGTTACCTCTGAATTTATCTTTACTATGGAAAAAAGTGAATTTCGTGTTTTGATTAAACGTTACTTCCTGATGGGAAAAAACACTGTTGAAGCAAAGGCTTGATAAATGTTACGGCACATCTGCCCCACCGAATTCAACCATCAAATATTGGTTTGCTGAGTTTCGTCGTAACCGTACGAGCACAAATGATGCACCACATTCAGGAAGGCCAAATGAGGCAGTTACTCCAGAAAACATCCAGAAAATCAGTGAAATCGTGTTGAATGACCGCAAAATGAAATTGAGTGAGCTAGTTAACATCATAGGCATCTCAAAGGAACGCGTTGGTCATATCATTCATGAATATTTACACATGAAAAAGCTTTGCGCGCGTTGGGTGCCGCGTTTTTTGACAATTGAGCAAAAAAGCGGAACGTGTTCGACTTTCAAAGCAAAATCTGGCCCTGTTTAACCGCAATAAGAAGGAGTTTTTGCGTCGATTTGTCACAATAGATGAAACATGGATCCATCACTACACACCGGAGTCCAATCGGCAGTCAGCGGAGTGGTTATTGCCTGGTGAAAGCCGTCCGAAGCGCCCGAAGACACAACAATCAGCCGGCAAAGTTTTGGCCAGTATTTTTTGGGATGCGCATAACATAATATTCATTGATTATCTTGAACATGGTAAAACTATCAATAAAGAATATTACTGTACATTACTGGATCGATTGGACGACGAGGTCAAGGTCAAACGGCCACATTTGGCAAAGAAAAAAATTTTGTTTCACCAAGACAATGCTCTAGCTCACTCGGCTCGCGATATGACCGATAAATTAAAGAAATTGCGCTATGAATTGCATCTCGCATCCTCCGTATTCTCCAGACCTGGCCCCCAGCGACTATTTCCTTTTTCCCCGACTGAAGCAGTGGCTCGCTGGTAAAAGATTTTACTCGAATGAGGAGGTCAAGTTGGAAACAAATGCCTATTTTGAGGGACTTGACACCGAGCACTATAAGACCGGCATCGAAATGTTAGCGGACCGTTACACTAAGTGCATTACTCTAAATGGAGATTATGTCGAGGAATAAAACACTTTTTTCATTAAAAAAATCGTTTTTTCATTGTTAAGCCAAAGACTTTTCAGCCCATGTAGTAGAGTCTGGCCAAT